AAACTCTCCTTTAGAGATAATAAAGCAAAGTTTGAGGAACTTACTCTTTTACAAATATGGTCAATCTGATTTTCCCACGAAAGTTGAGCATCTAAGGAAATACCCAAAAATTTTACAAATTTAGAGACAGTAAAGTCATTATTAAACTTATTTAAATTAGCTACACGAGGAGAGAAAAATACATATTCAGTTTTATTTTTGTTAAGAATTACAATAGTAAGTTAGGGAACCAAGTCTGCTAGATAGAATATAAATAGATTTAAATAGCGATAACGGACCGGTACTCAACTCTAGTTTGTATAAATTAGTTTGTTAATTTCTCTTTCCTTGTTTACTGAAGCGGTTACGGTCCACAGTTTAGTAAACTGTGTCCGTTCACGGTTCAGTCAACCTTAGCTTATAATTATAATTAGTATAAATATGGTAGATTTTGCAGTTATATTTATTTACATTTCGCTTCTGATAATGCCAACATTGTTGTCGACAAATGAGGAGTGATTTTTCAAAAGGTCGTATTTCCATTTGCAACCATTTTTCAAAAAAATGACTATAACCTGTATAGGTTAGGGCAATATAGATTATTTAAAAAAAAATTCTGATGAATATTTAATAATACTTCAGACCTGCTGTCATATTTCGCCGTTAATATATGCTTTAACCATACCTTTGGGATTTTTTCAAAAAATTACATTAAAGTAAAAATGGAAATAAGGCCTTTTGAAAAATCACTCCTCAAATACTATTTTGGTGTTATGGAATATTTATAATATTTGTTTAACCAATCACCAAAGTTGTCCTTTTTCAGGATTTCTACTATATTGAAATGTTTACAATTTTTACGTGAATCATTACTAAAATGTGTAGTTATTGTATCTAATCTGTGTGTAATTTATTTATTAATTTCCACTGTTTATTGGGAAACCGGTAATAACTCAACCCAGGATTTCCTCTCGAAAAACACCCAACAAAAAATCGTTCCATGTTTTTTCTTTCGATATGTTTAACATTTTCCGGCCTTATTCTTAGAAGACACTCATTTGTAACATACGCTTTTGACAGCTGATTATTCAAATTTGTAGTTTTGTTACGATGATAACGGCCACTTGCTTACACCTAGGCGGTAAAGTAACAATTTTTCAGGCGAACTTTAGCCTGAAGCTTGAAAACTGGAAAAATAACTTTAATTCCTACTGCAAAAAAATACTAACAATGTGAACAGCAAATTAAATTAAATTTTAATGGAACAATTATTTAATAGAATGAATAAAGCTTTCGTTTGAACAAATCTTACAATCGTAAAAATCTTATTTGTTTAATTTTAATTTCACATATTATTGAAAAAAGTAAAAAATATTACCGCTTAGGCATTATTCTTGCAAGGCTGACCATAGAAACACCTACTTTTTCCTCCCTATGGAGACGCTAAAATTTAACTTTACTATAAAATTCAACCTTACTATAATGTAGAATAAAAAAATTGTGTTGCTTTCATAGTTCTCCTGCTCTGAGTTATAGCCCAAAAATTTTCAAAAGGTAATAACCTATTTTTTTAGAATTGAATAAGTTTATTTTTGTATCAAGGAATTCTAAAACTGAAAGCTTTTTTATTTGTAAAAATATAGTTTAAAACTATAGTATTTTCTCAGGCCCTGGTGTTGAGTTTTAAAAAATTTGTTTTTACGTTTATATAAAAGCTTTCAGTTAAAAAATTCCTTTATACAAAAATAAATTTATTCAATCCTAAAAAAATAAAAAATAAGATTTAAAAATAGTAAAGTTCAATAAAATATGAACAAAACAATTTTAAAAGTATAAATAAAATTATTATAATAATATTTAATATAATACAAAATGTCTTAAAGACTCAAAAAGTCTAAAGAGTTACGATTGGTAAAAGGGGCCCATTGGAGCGATGGCTCAAGGTCGGTAAATGACAATGTGCTGACCTAATAAATCCATCACTACTTTTATAATTATATGTAAATTTAATTTAAAAAAACTTTTAAACTTATGGTAACTTTTGATTAATATATGTATTTACAAACCAACCAAATTGTATGTCCAAACTAAAACTTAATTTAATTTGAACAAGTTGAATCTTATAAGATTACTATAGTAATCCAAGTTGTGTTACCAAACTATTTATAATCAATAAAGCTTTTAAAAAAATTCATTTTAATCCTATTTAAAACAAATTCTTTAATATTTTAAGATATATTCGTTCGATTTCGTTTCGATTATTAATAAAGTTTTAGGAGATTTCACCGCAACAAAGGTAAAGTATACAGAAAAATGGCGTACTAAAAATGTAATTGGTTTAAAATTACAAAAGGAAATTCAATATTTAAATAAACGGTATCTAAATAAATTAAACGCCATTTTTTCTCTAAGAAATTCCATTAATTATACAAAGTGGTCCTGAACGAGAATATTTTTTTCAAAATTGTAGAAATTCCATTAATTATACAAAGTGGTCCTGAACGAGTCATAGGTCACATAAAAATGACGCCAAAAATTGACTGAAGTATTGGAATGTCATGTGATGTTTAAAAATATTTTTTTCAAAATTGTAGATGTTCCTTTTTTGAAGTTTTGCTTAATAATAATTATTATTATCATCCATAGTAGTTTTGTCTTTTTAACAAATTTTTTGAGGTTAGGTTTGTGGGTATTCGGAGTCCGAATTTCGGACAGGAAAATTAAAAACTTATATTAAATTCGCCGACGTTTCGAGGGCATTTACTGCTCTCTTTCTCAGGGCTAATTCAAAAAATGTATTGACAACTTAGTCATATCGTCAAACATACAGTGTGACCCATTTGTTTGCGACTCACCCCTGTAAAATCTTTATTTATTGTGCGATTTTAACCGGATTTGTTTTAAAGTGTAGATCTTGATAAACTGTATTTTTGGAGCAAAAGACGCCATAGTAATACAAACTACAAGGCATTCTATGTCAGTTTTTAAGAGTAAATTTTTAAGAATTCATACTAGCGATTTTTTTAAACAAAATATAAGCACGGCACTGGATTCACCACCCCTCAAAACTATCCTATACTAAATTTTATTGAAAAATTTTAAGAAAAAAAATGCACAAAAATAACTACAAAAATTTATTTTGTCAAGTTATCCATGAAAAAAACATTGAAATAAAAATAAACTAATATTAACATGGTACTATTACTATAAGTTTAATTTTATTTCAATGTTTTTTCTTGGATAACTTGACAAAATAATTTTTTGCAGTTATTATTCTGCATTTTTTTTCTTAAAATTTTTTAATAAAATTTAGTTTAGGAAGGTTTTGAGGGGTGGTGAATCCAATAATGTGCTTAGATTTTGTTTAAAAATATAAATTCTTAGAAATTTACTCTTAAAAACTGACATTGTATTTTGTAAAAATATGGCGTTTTTTGCTTCAAAAATACAGTTTATCAAGATCTACAGTTTAAAAGAAATCCGGTTAAAATCGCACAATAAATAAAGATTTTACAGGGGTGACTCGCAAACAAATGGGTCACACTGTATATACCGCAAAACGGCATGTACTCCAATAAAATAATTCAATACATTGTACGAAGGTCTTTGGAAAAAATGTTTGAATGAAATAAAGGTGACTTAATTATCTCTTAAATCATGCCTCCATAATAATGCCTAAACTATTGGCCTACGAAATCCATAGACGTAGTCGTGAATTTTTTATGTTTAACTGGGTATATTTAATTTTTTTGTAAATAACCTGCCATAGGTTCTTTTTAAAATTGCAGCATCATTTTTCTTTAAAGAAATATAACCTATATAAAACAAAAAAGACAAGTAAGTACTTAATAATTGTCAAATAATATTGTAATGTTATCAATATGAAAAACAGAATAGAATATTTTTTTATGGAAACTCTACAACTGCTATTTTTAACGACTCTTTGAAGTTAGGATGTGCCATGTTGTTTATCTTGTATTTATTTCAAAAATTTTATAAACTCGCGGTGGACATTCTTCCAAGTGACTAATTATTACATGAATTTATAAAGTTTGAGATATATCAGTATAAACATAACTACTAAAGTTTGTATGTGCATTTTTATTTAGTATTAATTTGACGTTTTGGTGGAAAAGTAATTCTTAACTAATTTATCCATAGTCTTAAATTGGGACACGTATGGTAAATTGACCAAAGTACTAACAGTTTTCAGAAAATATTTTGTAAGAAGAGTGTCAGGATGTTTTAGAAGCATTTAACATGCATTTACCTCAAATATGTTACCTTGGTAGTTCTTAGAGACCAAATTCAGCGTTTTAGGCCATCTCAACGCTTGTTCTTTTCCCATAAGTTTCACTAGTCAAATACGCCTGACAAAGGTGATGGCTAACTAGATTTTTGTATTTACTACTTGTTGGCAATTGAATGTAAGCTATTGTAACTGATGGTAGTATTATTGCGTGAGCATACCTAAACTGAACATACATTACTTAGGTACTCAATTTATTTAAGGGTCCTGCTTTTCTTAAATACATAGTTTTTTAATAGATAAACCATTTACTGTTGTCCTTTCCATTTTTTTGTAAAATATGGTTTCGGCCATTAATGTACCATCAAGTTTTTAAACATTTTGTAATTAAAAAAATTATATCTACGCCAATGGTTGCGGTTGCGACAAAATTATCTATTCAATGATGATTGAATAGATAATTTTGTCGTCTTTAATTCTTTATTTTAAATTTTTTCCTTAAGGGCTTAGTTTTAAAGAAATACGCAAAAAATCTTAAATAAGTCACTAAATTACAGTTGGTATTTGAATTAACTTTTAATTAAATTTTATAAAAAGGATCAACTACAATTTTGAAAAATATGTTTTTAAACTCTAGAGAGAGTCCTTATTCCGATAGCGCATTCAATTTTTGGCGTCATTTTTATGTTACTTATGACTCATTCAGGACCCCTGTGTATAGTACCCTAATAGGAATAGGAATAAAAAACTAAATAAAAGTTAATTTTTTCAGAGTTGCTGAAGGATTTCTTGGACCAGAAAATTGGTTTTGAAATATTTGTAATGCAGGTAAGTTATTTTATTAAGTATTTAATTTTTCATCATTTTAATTATTTTAACTAAATATTATTTTATAAAAAAATATATTATTAAATATATTGTTTATTAAGCATTATTGTTTATTAAGCATTTTTATTAACTCGGTTTCTTAAGAGTTTGTCTATACAAATTTTCTAATCGATTTTAAACCAGGGTTACATAATGCGTCTCTGTATACGAATAAAAACCTAAACGGTATGGAAAGATTTGCCAAATAACTAAATTCAACTACCTATACTGAAATACTGAAAATGAAGGTACATTTTAATGGAAATTCTATTCACGAAACTATTGGTATTGCAAATATCAGGAACAGAGTGACGCAGAAACGTTTGGTATAGAAACTAAACTTCTATTCCCCTTTTACTAACAAATTGGTGTAAGAGCGGTCTATCTGAAACCAACAAAACAAGTATTATAAATAAGTTAGGTACTAAACAGTTTCAAAACCAAAGTATATAACCGAAACTAGAAACGAAACCTGCATACAAAGCGTAAACAAAACTTTGAGGTATGAAATGGTAACGAATCAAACGAAACCATTAAAAAAAATTCATTATTTGTGAAATTTTAAAATATTCTTTAGACCGTTTGCAAATAAAAAAACATGTGCTCTTAGACCACACCGCCGAAGTAAAACTTCTTTTGAACAATTAAATAAATTCGTGTTTTGTTTTTATTTAAGCGATAATCATTATCTGATAATGTTTCATTAAGTACTACATAATATGTATATTATGTTTTTTTAAACGTCTCTTTTAACCTTTTTTTTAAACTACTTTTTTTTGATTTTTAGTATTGTACTTGTAAGATTTAAAACAAGAAACTTGAATAATTGAAAACTGCACTTACATTAAATTTATTTAAAATCGTGTAATAAAAAACTATTGTTTTAATGTGCAGTAAAAAAAATAGCTTAAAAAAAACGTTAAAAAAGACGTTTTAAAAAACTAAAAAGTATAAAATAATAACGAAGAACGTGACCTTTTAAATACACTTTGACAAGGTCCTGCTTTACGGCGCTTTAGTCACGGGCTGAAGTTAGCAACAGGTTTTTAGTCACGGGCTGAAGTTAGTTTTAAGTTAGTTGACAGTTGTCAAATGTCATACAATCGTTAAAATAAAGTGCCTTTCTTTTAAAATAATACTAAATGTGAAAATTATTTTATTATCTCAATATAAAAATACAAAAATATTAAATAGTTTCTCAACGCCAATATTTGAAAAGTTTATATTAACATTGTACTGACCTTTTAATTTCGCCGGCAGTAAACTATAACTTAAATTCGGGCATGGACTCTACTGTAAAGTCCTCATAAAACATTTCCTATACTTTCACTGTGAAAAACTGTCCATTTTCAAGATACATTTCGATTTATAACCTTTATAATTGTGTTTATAAAATGTAAAAATGTGACATTTGACAGTTTCCCCTGTTGTTTCATAGATGGCGTTCTATACAAATTTTTTATTTAAATCATTTTGAGATAATAATAAGTATTTGTCGTAGAAAAAGAATAGTATGCACCTCGTTTATAAACTTTGCTATACACTCATTAATTTAAGCACTCGCTCGCAAGCTCGCTCGTGCCTAAATTAAATTCGTGTATAAAATGGCGTTTATCAAACTTGATACATAATATACTATAAACTATTATAATAGTAAACAGTTTAAAGAGTATAGGCAGTGGCGGCTGGTGACATATTAAATTATTATAAACTTACCGATGTATGTAAGATGTGAGACCCATAATCCCATATTTAAATTAACACAAGTAATTATATAATCTACGGTATTTATTTAAATTTATAATATAACACGAACAATAACATCGGCAACGCGCTGACGGGCATCTTACTATTTCGCACGATTATGATGGCTGATGCCTACTAAAACAGATATATTCCGCCCGCACGCCGCACACCCCCGCCTTCATCAATACATCGGACTAACAGTGCAGATTGGAATCCGCCCGGCTTGTAACTATCCATCCTAAAAAAGTTTACCCGTATTAATCGTCCTAAAGTTAATATTGAGAATTACATTGTGTAACATTACGAATAAATTAATTAAATACACTCACAGGCAAAATAATCGATCCACACAAATTTTCGATGAATTTCAATCCCAAATAACTTTTTTATTTGATGTCGGATTTATACGAATATTAAAGAATATTGTAGATAAATTAATAAAGAATCACTCACATTTTAAAAAGTTACTAAAAAATAGACGTACGTAAATAATATACAGGTTTAAACAAAAATAAGTTTTTTTACCATAAGTTTAAGACACTCTGTAGAGTGGCAAAACAGTATGTTGTTTTAAATTAAGTTTTAATTATCAAGTCACATCTATCCTTAACAGTCTTGTTTTTGGTTAATCTCGATATATTTATTTTTGTGGAAAATATGGATTTTTTAAGAAAACACTGCAATTTTCAGTATTTTTTCTGTACGAAGAACTAAGGTTGCTATGGTCCATCCATAGCCTATGGAGAATGACAGTGACAGTTTTGTTGTATCATTCCATAGTTGGATATGTGATATACGGCTTTTAAAAGCTGACAAATTATTTTTTGTTACTTTTAAGGAGTCTTTTTACTTATAAAAATGGAAATGTCTCCGACTGATGTTGCCAGAGCCATTGCTTTAATCCAGGATGGACGGTCATAGGCAAGTGTGGGAAGTGTTTTAAACGTCACAAGAATTAAAGTATAAAGGGCGGCACCAGTTGGAGACATATCCATTTTTAAAATTAAGAAGACACCTTAAAGTATATTTGTTGTAAAACATTAATTGACAAAAAAAACATTTAATATATTAACCTATAGCTTTTAATAGCCGTATATGTCATGTCCAAGTATGGAATGATTCAACAAAACTGTCACTATAATCCTTCATAGGCTATGGATGAACCATAACAACCTTAGTTCTGCGCACAGAAAAAATATTGAAAATTGTAATGTTTTTTTTTAAAAATCCATATTTTCCACAAAAATAAATATATCAAGGTGAACCAAAAAGAAAACTGTTAAAAATAGATGTGGCTTAATAATTAAAACTTAATTTAGAACAATATACGGTTTTGACACTCTACAGAGTGTCTTAAACTTATGGTAAAAAACATATTTTTGTTTAAACCTGTATATTATAAACGTACGTCCATTTTTTAGTAAATTTTTAAAATGTGAGTGATTCTTTATTAATTTATCTACAATTTTCTTTAATATTTGTTTAAATCCGAAATCAAATAAAAAAGTTATTTGCGACTAATTTCATCGAAAATTTGTGTGGATCGATTATTTTGCCTGTGAGTGTATAATGTTTTTGAATAGCATTGGTAGGGCACTGCCCCGTTGCCCTCCCTATAGCAGCCGCCACTGAGTACACTCCATACTAATATCAACAATTGACATGTTTCAAGTTGACAGATGACAGAATGACAGATAAAATATGACACACTTCTTACCATTATCTACTGCATGCGAATCAGGTTTTTCGTTTAAAATCTTATTAATTTATACTTTTTATTGCGTTAAACCGTCTTTTTTTAGTTTTTAAAACTATTAATTTATTTGTTTTCGAGTCTCCTATGAAAATAAGTTAGTTTATTATGTTTAAAGAGTTCTTTCCTAAAATCAGCTCGCTTAAAACATTTTAGGACTCGAATTTTAAAAATTACAAATATGGTCAGATTTTTTTATCGCTACTGTACGGAGTTTCAGCTTAAAATTTGAATTTTTAAAGGTCGCTTATAACTTAAAAATGTTATGTTTAAATATTAGTATTAGTACTAAATTTAAAGAATAATTTTATGGGTTAATTTTATATAATAACAAATAAATGTAACATTAATTATTACTTTAAAATACATTTACTGTAGCAAGCAAAAAAAATATAACAAAAACTCAATTTTGACCATTTTTTTACATTCGTAATCGACCTCTAAAAATGTTTAACACATGTATCAACTGCAGCTGATTTTTCAAGAGAGATCTTAAAACAAGATAAACTAACATATTTTTATACCTACCCCTAATTTAAAAAAAAATATGTTTAAATGTTTTGATGCTATTTTCTTTAGGTTACGTCCAATCACAGCATAAACATGCTGTGGTCCAATCTCAAACGATTTTTAATGGTACCTATCTTACAAAGAAAAATTTAAATTAGTTTTTAGTCAGGCTAAGTTATACAAAAAAACTAAAATGTATTAAAAACCAAAAATATCTGGCCAATTAAAAAATCTTGAATACAAAACTAATAAATATAAAAGTAATTTTTCTTCATATGGCAACCCTTGCATGTGAATCACTATTTTATTTCATTTGGTCTGTTAAAAACAAATTTAAATTAATTCAAGTGGCATAAGAGTTTTAATGAGGTTTTACATTTATTTAGAAGAACTTACAATACGTTAAGCTCATATGCATACAGGTAGGTATATTAAAAAGCATAATATGCATATTATGCAAAAAGGTTTAAAATTCATTAAACCTTTTAATTTCAAACATAAAAAATCATATATTGAGTTTAAGTGTACCTTTAACAAAAAAAAACGTGTAACAAAAAAAATAATTGTAAAGTAGATAATACAATTTCCTCAACATTACTGGAGTTAATTTTGTATTAAAATGCCGCTCATGTAATGACTTTTGAAGCTATTAAACTTTCTTAACAATATTATAATAAACGAAAAATATTTTGGATTGTTGTTTCGAGTTTTAATTTAAAATTAAGCTAAAATAAATGAGGATAGTTGCAGAGGGGAACGATGGTTACTATTTTTAATACTACCTAGGGTTGCCATCCATCCTTCCTCCAGAAGGACAGTCCTTTATTAAAGTCCTTCTGTTTATCTTCCCTTAAAATAGTCCTTAACATTGACAATTTTTCAAATTTCTCGCGTTTATTTTTTTTATTAAAGTCCTTCTGTTCTTCTTTCCTAAAAATCGTCCTTAACATTGACAATTTTTAAAATTTCGCGCCTTTATTTAATTGTTAATTTTAAAGAGAACTGTTGAGAATTTTTTAATTTAAGGTAGAATCTTCATTTGAAGAGATTCTATATTTAATATAATATATTATGATTTTAATATAATATAATATAATATAATATAATATAATATAATATAATATAATATAATATAATATAATATAATATAATATAATATAATATAATATAATATAATATAATATAATATTATTAAGTCATACCTTACGAATCGTACACAATATGTCCAATTTAATAAAAATCAATCTAAAAAGCAGATAATTAAATATGGTGTACCTCAGGGATCAGTGTTGGGGCCGCTATTGTTTTTAATATACATTAATGATCTTTCAAACTTTAAGAAAAATTCCAGACTCGTTCTATTTGCTGATGATACCACCAATGTTATTAGATACCATCCCACTGAACCATTGGGAAATATTGTAAATGAGCACCAGTCAAATTTATTTGACTGGTTTTCTACAAATAAACTAAGTCTAAATAGAGCTAAGACTCAAAACATAAATTTTACATTTCGTCAAACTAATCCTGACCTGCCATGTGATCCTAATGTTAAGTTCCTTGGAGTCATGCTTGATCCTGGACTAACTTGGGAGGAACATGTTCTACAACTAAGTGGCAAACTATCAAAAATAACTTACCTAATCAGAGCACTTTCACAAAAGGTGTCTTTCCCTACACTTTTGACTGCCTATCACGGATACTTTTCAGCACATATGTCATATGCCGTTATAAATTGGGGTCATAGCTCGCATACGGAAAAAATCTTTAATTTACAGCGAAAATGTGTACGTGTCTTGGCTGGACTGGGGTACCGTGATTGTTGTCGACAGTATTTTGTCTCTTTTGGCTTATTTACATTTCCATCCCTCTATATTTACCACTGTCTTCTTTACATTAAAGACAATTTTTCCAATTTCCAGTCACATAGTAGTTTACACTCTCATACAACTAGATACCGGAATAACATACTCCCTGACTTCCACAGACTTTCAAGGACCCGAAGAGGGACTGATTATTTTTGTGTCAAATTTTATAACGTGCTACCAAACAATATTAGACTATTAAATCATGATCAGTTTAAAACAAAAATTAAAACTTATCTGATAAAAAAGGCTTTTTATTCATTTGAGGACTATTTTCAAAATAACTTTAGTGACATGTAATATTTCAAAAATTTTAACTGTTTATATATTTGTGTTTATACAATATTTATTTGTTTTAAATTATTAATTTTACCATTTACCTTTGTATAATATCTGTTTTACTATTAGATTTTACTTCTGACTTGTACAAACATTTTTAATGTATTAGTACCAATAAACATTATTATTATTTTATTATTATTATTATAATATAATATAATATAATATAATATAATATAATATAATATAATATAATATAATATAATATAATATAATATAATATAATATAATATAATATAATATAATATAATATAATATAATATAATATATTATGATTTTGTGGGGCAACAGACACACTCACAAGTAATTTCTGATTTTTTCTGTATTGAGTTTGTGCTGTTTATGCAGATTAAAAATCGTTTTAAACGTTGTGTTTCTTATAGGCACTTGTAAGCCTCAAATGAGGACATGAAGGACATCAAACTGTCAAAGGTCAATCCTAAGGTTAATTTACCATAAGTTATTATAAGTTATAAAGTTATTATGGTCCATAACCCACAAATTAACATTAAAATCAATATTTGACAGTTTGATGACAGCCCTGATAGAGTAGTTTTTTTTACAAAAGCGGAGTAAAAATGCTTGCCCTTAGCACTTTAAGGTCTCATTTAAGGCCCTCAAGTACCTCTGAAAGAAACACAACGTTTAAAATGATTATTAATTTGTATAAACAGCCCAAACTCGAAGCACAAGAATTGTAAACAACTTAAAAATGGCCGCCGCACAGTGTACGATTCAGACCTGATGCGCGTCAAAATCGTAGCGCTTCGAATAGAAACAACATTTTGATATGATTCAAAATGTATTTGAAAGGTAATGTATTTACCTTTCAAGGAAAATTATTACCATTGAATCAAAATGGCCGTTTGACCTTTAAAAAAGAGGTCAAACTTTAAAAATTTTTGAAAAAAAAAATCTTTTTTAACTAGTATCAAAAAAACATTTTTATTCAGGTGTTCTTATACATAATTTTTGGAACAAGGAATCAAGAAACAAAATCCCATTCATAAAAAATTTTTAAAATATATTTGAAGCCCTCAATTTTTGGATCAAATTTAAGTAGGTTCAATTTTTGACATATTTATGACATTCTTGCAGCTCTGTATACTCTCCTCATACTTAGACACCTCAAATAATACAAGTAGGTTGTAGTGCTATTAAAGACCTATAATTTGAACCCTAGTAGAAGTCTCTAGGTACTCCAAAAGCAAAATTATAACGGTTTTAAGCCAAACAGAAATTGCGTTCACGGAATTTTACCCTGGAATTTAAAAAACTTATTAAAGTCGTAAATTTGGTTCCAGACCACCTAGATACATACCTACTTCTAATGGAACTCAAATTAAAGGTCTTGATAAATACTCACAGTCTTAGTGTACTCGAACAAGTTGCTTTGGCATACGCGAAAAAGCATATGATTTTGAAAATATACGTGTGTATGTGTATACATATATTTCATATAAATTTTATATGTGCACACACATACAGTTTGTGTTTTTAATATCTATAAATAGGTAGAAATAAGAACATGAATAAAGAACAAGCTTATATACATTAACTACATTATTCGATATATAAAAATAAACATTATTATTGTAATTGTAACTAAAAGAGTACTTTTCTTCTTAATTAAAGAATGAATAAAAACAAAAACTATGTAATTAGTGATATTTTTACCTACTAATTGCTTGTATCCTCTAACTCTTAGATAAAATCAAGTAAAGCAAAATCATTTCTCACTTTACTACTCTCTAAAAATGAATTAGTCAAAAGTAACTAATTTAATAGTTAATAGTGGCTGCTTTTTCACTTGTGCCATGGTTAACCATGGAATACCATGGTATCCCAATTCTTATGTAAAATTTTCCCCTGAATCCGAAAAAGTCGTCAAAAGTTAAAAAAGTGGAACAGTTTTTGAGATATAGTCAATTTTCCATTTAATATGGAATTGACTATATCTCAAAAACTGTTGTACTTTTTTAAATTTTGACGGTATTTTCTGATTCAGGGGAAAATTTTACATAAGAATTGGCTGTTAAATTTTGGGATACCATGGTATTCCATGGTTAACCATGGCACAAGTGATAAAGCAGCCACTTTTAACTTTACTTTTGACTAATTCATTTTTAGAGTGTATATAATAGTAGGTAAAATTATCACTAATTACCTAGTATTTGTTTTTATTTATTGTTTAATTAAGATATATAAAGATAGAAACACATCCATGTTTGTAAAGATAAAATATACTAAATAATATGCTTAAGTTAAAAAGGAACAATATTTTCAAAAAAGGAAAAAAGGCGCTATTGTCACATTATACACTATTTTGTTTTAATAAATTCCTGTATATCGGACAAATTTGACTGTACAGTTTTACTCTTGTTAACTCTACTATCTATAAGCATTAAAGATATTTTTGGGTCTGTCATGTACACTGCTCGATTAAATACATCCAGTAAGCGGTGTTCTCTGCTGTTCTGCCGAGAGTGCTCAACCATATTGCGTTTGTAATATTTATGCCAGGATTCGTTGGCATCTTCGGCATAATATGCAATAGGAAGTGGAAGTTGTCGAGCAATATCGCATCCATGCCTCAAAAGTTTGTGGACTGTGGGACTCATTCGGGCCCATGGATAAAGCTCGTAATATCGGCAATACGTTTGCAAACAAAATCTCTCCAGCTTATTTAATTCAAGTTCCTCTTTACATTTAAAGCATAATATTATTTTGCTCAAATCAATTACTAATTGAACATCAATTTCTAATGCATTGGCAAATAACTCAGGAGATTGGAAACATCGTCTTGCCACATTTCCTGTGTTCGTTGTGCCATGACCTTGAAGTACTTGATCCACTCGAACTTTTAGTTTTTCATATATTCTTTTTTGAAGAATTCTTTGGCGCTCCTCAAAATCGACTTCAAAACAAAAATAATTATTTTTTTAATTTAGCACATTTCATATATAAAATATTTTGAAAATAAAAAACAATATTTGAGACTTTAAAAGAAAAAGATATTTATAATCTTTAAGCACTCTCTTAAAGGAGTACGGAATCATTTTTAGAAAATTATTTGTAAGTTTATTCCCTATCTTTTTTTTAATCGAAGAAAATAATTGGCCATACAAATATTGAAATTCTTACCTTTTGCAGGTTGTCGCACATCCCATGACTTAAGGTCCTGACGATATCCAAGACCAAGAAAATGTTCAAATACTTTTATCTCGCAATGTAGTAGCCCTAATCCATATTTAAGGTTTGCTTCTGAAGCAGTAAAATTATCTGCGAGGTTTGAAAATTGATGTGCAGTCCGTAAACATATGGGACATCTACTTGAAGCCTTATTTTTGACGATTGTATTGAGGCATTTCCCATCAAGCAAGGTTTCATAAATATCATATTGTACCCTCGCAGATTTACCATTTGACATTTTGAATCGATATGGAAGAAGCTGTTCGATTTCTTTTTTCAATCTAAAATGTTCTTTTAGTGTTGCTTCCTCGTCCTCTTTCTCCAAAGCTATTTGTAAAGGCCGACAAAATCGAACGCTCTGCGGAGTTGGGTTCAACCACGAAACTTTATCAAAATCGACATTTCTTAATTGAATTAAAATAAGGCTACTAACAAAAAGTGACTGTTGTGGATTAGAAGATTCGTTTTCAGAATTTTTGCATTTTTGGTGCGGATTTACATGTCCTGATGAACTATCAAAACCTAGGGTAATAATTAGTTTTAATTTATACAATGCTTCTTCGCTCCAGTTTAAAGCAACGCTTTCACAAAGTCGTTCAGTAGATTTATTTAATATTTCTTGAAGAGGCACCATAACTTCGATCTCACTTACTTTAATATTTTTTGGCATACATTCATCCATTGCCTGATGGACAATGTCATAGCATGGGTAAATAGGACAATTTCTTGAAATAGTATCACTAACTAGTGCTTTATAGCTCGCCACTGAAAAATCATTCTCCAAGAAAAATGCTAAGGCTGATTCCTTTGAGTGCCTTAAGATAGTATTTGTATATTGCTCAGAATGTTCTCCCACATCTGTAACATCCTTAGCCTCGACTTTTATTATTTTCGCGGCATCTTGAATTTCTTTTAAGTTTTCCCTTAATTTTTTAGTTCGTCTTTGCAAAGTTCTAATTGAAGCAGTCTCAATTTTTACTTCTTTTCGACCAGTATTATAGCTCTTTTTATTTTTTTTCTTTGGCCGACCAGAAACTTGTTTTTTTTCTCTTTTCATGTTGTGGTATAATAAAAAAGCAAAATATTTACGAAATTAAAATATCAAAACAATGATTATATGAAATTTTGTTAAACTAAAAATTATGACACTTATTACAATCTCAAAACGTCAATTGAAGAGTGTAAGTAGAAAAGGTCTATATGCTATGCCTAATGATACTGGAAAAGTTTTAAAATTTAAGATGCCCCGAAAATAATAAAAGTCGAGGCTAAGGATGTTACAGATGTGGGAGAACATTCTGAGCAATATACAAATACTATCTTAAGGCACATCAGCCTTAGCATTTTTCTTGGAGAATGATTTTTCAGTAGCGAGCTATAAAGCACTAGTTAGTGATACTATTTCAAGAAATTGTCCTATTTACCCATGCTATGACATTGTCCATCAGGCAATGGGTGAATGTATGCCAAAAAATATTAAAGTAAGTGAGATCGAAGTTATGGTGCCTCTTCAAGAAATATTAAATAAATCTGCTGAACGACTTTGTGAAAGCGCTGCTTTAAACTGGAGCGAAGAAGCATTGTATAAATTAAAACTAATTATTACCCTAGGTTTTGATAGTTCATCAGGACATGTAAATCCGCACCAGAAATGCAAAACTTCTGAAAACGAATCTTCTAATCCACAACAGTCACTTTTTGTTAGTAGCCTTATTTTAATTCAATTAAGAAATGTCGATTTTGATAAAGTTTCGTGGTTGAACCCAACTCCGCAGAGCGTTCGATTTTGTCGGCCTTTACGAATAGCTTTGGAGAAAGAGGACGAGGAAGCAACACTAAAAGAACATTTTAGATTGAAAAAAGAAATCGAACAGCTTCTTCCATATCGATTCAAAATGTCAAATGGTAAATCTGCGAGGGTACAATATGATATTTATGAAACCTTGCTTGATGGGAAATGCCTCAATACAATCGTCAAAAATAAGGCTTCAAGTAGATGTCCCATATGTTTACGGACTGCACATCAATTTTCAAACCTCGCAGATAATTTTACTGCTTCAGAAGCAAACCTTAAATATGGATTAGGGCTACTACATTGCGAGATAAAAGTATTTGAACATTTTCTTGGTCTTGGATATCGTCAGGACCTTAAGTCATGGGATGTGCGACAACCTGCAAAAGGTAAGAATTTCAATATTTGTATGGCCAATTATTTTCTTCGATTAAAAAAAGATAGGGAATAAACTTACAAATAATTTTCTAAAAATGATTCCGTACTCCTTTAAGAGAGTGCTTAAAGATTATAAATATCTTTTTCTTTTAAAGTCTCAAATATTGTTTTTTATTTTCAAAATATTTTATATATGAAATGTGCTAAATTAAAAATTTAATTATTTTTGTTTTGAAGTCGATTTTGAGGAGCGCCAAAGAATTCTTCAAAAAAGAATATATCAAAAACTAAAAGTACGAGTGGATCAAGTACTTCAAGGTCATGGCACAACGAACACAGGAAATGTGGCAAGACGATGTTTCCAATCTCCTGAGTTATTTGCCAATGCATTAGAAATTGATTTGAGCAAAATAATATTATGCTTTAAATGTAAAGAGGAACTTGAATTAAATAAGCTGGAGGGATTTTGTTTGCAAACGTATTGCCGATATTACGAGCTTCCCAGGTAGCAAAACTTGATTTGTGAGCAATCGTCACGGTTTCGTCACGTTATGCTACCTGGGTTTATCCATGGGCCCGAATGAGTCCCACAGTCCACAAACTTTTGAAGCATGGATGCGATATTGCTCGACAACTTCCACTTCCTATTGCATATTATGCTGAAGATGACAACGAATCCTGGCATAAATATTACAAACGCAATATGGTTGAGCACTCTCGGCAGAACAGCAGAGAACACCGCTTACTGGATGTATTTAATCGAGCAGTGTACATGACAGACCCAAAAATATCTTTAATGCTTATAGATAGTAGAGTTAACAAGAGTAAAACTGTACAGTCAAATTTGTCTGATATACAGGAATTTATTAAAACAAAATAGTGTATAATGTGACAATAGCGCCTTTTTTCCTTTTTTGAAAATATTGTTCCTTTTTAACTTAAGCATATTATTTAGTATATTTTATCTTTACAAACGTGGATGTGTCTCTTTCTTTATATATATTAATTAAACAATAAATAAAAACAAATACTAGGTAATTAGTGATAATTTTACCTACTATTATATAGTAAAGTGAGAAATGATTTTGCTTTACTTGATTTTATCTAAGAGTTAGAGGATACAAGCAATTAGTAGGTAAAAATATCACTAATTTTTGTTTTTATTCATTGTTTAATTAAAAAGAAAAGTACTCTTTTAGTTACAATTACAATAATAATGTTTATTTTTCTATATCGAACAATATAGTTAATGTATATAAGCATGTTCTTTATTCATGTTCTTATTTCTACCTATTTATAGATATTAAAAACACAAACTGTATGTGTGTACACTAGGGTGTTTCATTTTTAGGCGATATTTTTTTTCTTTCTGTCCTACCCAAAAATATAATAATTTATATATAAAAAATATATTTCCGTTGGAATAAAAATTCTAAGTTAATTAGAGGCTTCACTCTTTCAAAAATTCGATTTCACATAGAAATTACACGGGAAAATTTTTTTTCTGCTTCAACTCAATTTTTTGGCGTTTCAAAATTTTTTTGGAAAAAATGAGTATGCAGCTTTTGTAGGGAATCAAATTTGCTACAAAAAAGTTCCCTTGAGCAAACGCTTTCCGACCAACAGTTTTTGAGTTGTAGAGCTGGAAAGGTAAATGTTAATTAACAACAAATTTCCTTTAAATTGAAATTTATTCATAGGTAAAAATAAAGGCGTATGCAAACTTTTAAAGAACAAAATTGGAAAAAGTTTGTTGAATTTTGCCTGCCGGCCTCATATTTGTAAGCTGGTTTTACGTTGTGTTTTCCAAATATACTGGCCAATAACTTCAGGCCCAAATTAATTAACATTAGCATTTACCTTTCCAGCTCTACAACTCAAAAACTGTTGGTCGGAAAGCGTTTGCTCAAGGGAACTTTTTTGTAGCAAATTTGATTCCCTACAAAAGCTGCATACTCATTTTTACCAAAAAAATTTTGAAACGCCAAAAAATTGAGTTGAAGCCCAAAAAAACTTTTTCCCGTGTAATTTATATGGGAAATCGAATTTTTGAAAGAGTGAAGCCTCTAATTTACTTAAAAAAATTTTTCCAACGGAATTATATTTTTTTATATATAAATTATCAGATTTTTGGGTAGGACAGAAAGAAAAAAAATATCGCCTAAAAATGAAACACCCTAGTGTACACATAAAATTTATATAAAATATATGTATACACATACACACGTATATTTTCAAAATCATATGCTTTTTCGCGTATGCCAAAATCGCGTAAGCCAAAGCAACTTGTTTGAGTACACTAAGACTCTGAGTATGTATCAAGACCTTTAATCTGAGTCCCATTAGAAGTAGGTATGTATCTAGGTGGTCTGAAACCAAATTTACGACTTTATTAAGTTTTTTTAAATTCCAGGGTAAAATTCCGTGAACGCAATTTCAGTGTTTGGCTTAAAACCGTTATAATTTTGCTTTTGGAGTACCTAGAGACTTCTACTAGGTCTCAAATTATAGGTCTTTAATAGCACTACAACCTACTTGTATTATTTGAGGTGTCTAAGTATGAGGAGAGTATACAGAGCTGCAAGAATGTCATAAATATGTCAAAAATTGAACCTACTTAAATTTGATCCAAAAATTGAGGGCTTCAAATATATTTTAAAATTCTTTATGAATGGGATTTTGTTTCTTGATTCCTTGTTCCAAAAATTATGTATAAAAACACCTGAATAAAAATGTTTTTTTGATAATAGTAAAAAAAGATTTTTTTTTTCAAAATTTTTTAAAGTTTGACCTCTTTTTTAAAGGTCAAACGGCCATTTTGATTCAATGGTAATAATTTTCCTTGAAAGGTAATTACATTACCTTTCAAATCCATTTTGAATCATATCAAAATGTTGTTTCTATTCGAAGCGCTACGATTTTGACGCGCATCAGGTCTGAATCGTACACTGTGCGCCGTTAAAGTCTGTGCAGTGGGTTGTCTAACTTCGTGATTTTTAGTATGCGCGAAACGAGATGGAACAGACCTTGTTGTGTGGATTGTTGGAGATACTACCTTATTAACTTCACATTATTATACAACAAATTTCAAATCTGTTAGATCTGACAAATTGAGTCTGTCAGATTGAATATTTTATATTTTATGCGCATACCCACATTTCACACAAGATCTAAAAATCACGAAATTAGGCAACCCACTGCACAGACTTTAACGGCGGCCATTTTTATGTTGTTTACAATTCTTGTGTTCGGGTTTGTGCTGTTTATACAAATTAATAATCGTTTTAAACACTGCACAGACTCAACCGGCTAGTGCTAAGGGCAATCATTTTACTTCTCTTTTGTAAAAAATAAATATTCTATCAGGGCTGTCATTAAACTATCAATGTCAATTTTAAGGTTAATTTGTGGGTTATGGTAAATTAACCTTAGAATTGAAATTTCACATTTTGATGACAGCCCTTAGAGAATAATTCAGTTCAGGACATCAGCCATCAATTCGCCAATCCGCATAGCTCGGTGCATGGTAGGGTAGAGAGGGGTAATGGCGACCACCTAAGAAAAATTAACCATAAAATAATTTCGAACCAATATTTCTACCTTTTGAAAATCGGAATAGATTATTCAGATATCAATTCAAAAATACAACTCGAAAAAATTCTTAGCAAAGTGCTTTTGGTCGTCATTTCCCACGTAACGGGGTAATTACGACCAAGTGCTGGGTAATCGCAACCAGGTATATTTGACTTGTTTGGCTATAAGAAATTTGACTTATGTTGCTATAAAAAAATTTATTAAATTCATAACAAACTAAAATTAACAGGTATTCAATAATAATAACAAAACAAAAGGAAATATTAAATTAAATATTCTTATATATATATGTA